TTCCCACCATCCTGGGAGCCAAGAAACTGTCTTTTAATTTTATTCCCTTTTACTAATTTCCAGCAGTAAGCCTTCATTCCCAGCTCTGAGGTTATTAAAATTTTCTGAGAACATATGCTTCCCCCATCTATCATTAGTATTATTATGAAATATTTTGAAGGAGCCAGCTTTTAACCTCAGAAGAATAAGGGTGTTGGGATTGAGCCTCTGTTTTAGGCTTGATTTTCTGTTTTATCTGAGCTTTCAGAGTGGTTTGCTTGAAAGCAAATATAATTGGGATTGAAGGCAGAATTGTGTATCAGACACTAGTCTAAGTTCAATTTAGTAGCAATAATCTCATTTAAACCACAGGTCAGCCTTTGAGGCAGCTGTTGTGTATTCTCCCATTTTATCAGAGGCAACTGAGGCCAGGGAGGTGAAGAAATTCAGAGATACAGTGAGTCATTGGCACAGCTGGCCTTTCTCCCTACCCCCCCCTCAGTTTTTTTAAGCAACGAGTTTTACAAAGTTTTTAATGATTTGTTACAGGTATTCAATATTCCAACACCAATACCACTACCACTGTCACCTTCTTTTCACTATTGACTCCTTTTCCCCAACCACCCCTCAAGCCTGCCCCCACAGCAGGTCTACAACATTTATCTTGTCTCTTATTACCACTAAATGCCTAACAGAATGATCAAAAATTATTTCTGTAGAAAAAAATTTGTGAAAATTGTATCTCACCAAGTGACATTAAGTCCTTGCCTGAGGGTATACTATGCTGTTGTTGCAAGTTAAGCCTTCTGTGTTGATGTTTTTCTTAGTTGAGAAATGTAGAAGTTGAGAAATGTAGAAGGTTGACTTCTACATTTCATTCCCATCTGGTGTGCTACTACTGGGATGTCAGTGTTGTACAGTGTGGAGATGTCATGTGGCCAGGAATGTGGCTGCACATTCCAGAAAATCCAGAATATTTAACTGGGCAGTCCAGCCAGCCAGAGGTATGGTGTAGCAGTTTTGGGGCATGAGTGCAGCTGCTGGGGCTTTAGTAGGGCAGGAGCTGGCCTGCCTCCGCGTCTGAGGTTGCCCTGGAGGTCAGAGATGATCTTTGAGTCAGGCTGTCTAGTCCAGAACTTGTGCTCTTAGCACTGTTTATCACACTATTGCCTTATTCTCATCAAATATTTAAGTCACCCTTTTTTTTTTGCTTTTTTGGTCACACCTGGCTGTGCATAGGGGCCACTCCTGGCTCTGCACTCAGGAATTACTCCTGGCGGTGCTCGGGGGACCAAATGAGATGCTGGGAGTTGAACCTGGCTTGACTGCGTGCAAGGCAAACGGCTTACCTGCTGTGCTATCGCTCCAGTCCCCGGTCTCTTATTTTTATATTACCAGCTGTGCTGATGGGTAAATAATAATATGGGACAAGTACAAAAATTAATGAATATGGAACTTCCCTATCATCAGGAAGAAGTTTGGTGATGACTGTTACACCTGTGACTCAGTTTCCTAAAGATTACCAAGGAGCTGAATTTAATGCAAACACACAAGGGTCTTTATCACAAGCTCCAGATTGGTCTCCCAGGCAACACTGATGCAGCGGGTTGAAGCTGAGAGTCCTGAGCTCTTAAAGAGCAAGGTTTCTGTAAGGTTTACAGTAGGAAACAGGGAACTTAAACAGTATTATTACAGGATTGGTTGATCTTTACAATTTGAAGCTCACAGTTCTACATGATAGACTATGCCCAAGCTTAGCTCATTACCAGCTTGTGCTTTTGATCTAGGAGTACCATATGTGCTGTGGGCCCCTGGCAATGCACTTCTGATTGGCTGTGGCTTGGGAGGTTCAGGTTTTAGGCATCCTGTGGTGTTTCTAGATACAGGCCCTTTGTTCTTGGAATGGGTTGTTGAAGTTCCAGTAAATGGAAACTCTGGCCTGTGCTGCCCTTCCACTAGTGAAGCCTGCCATGGCATAGTTTTGGTTCCTCAATGGCACCAGAAACACCCACCATGATCAGACACTGGCTTTGAAGTGGATTGTTTCACTTAACACCCAAGCAAAGGATCTAAACAGGAATTGCTCATGGGAACAGGATTCACAGGGGCTTTTCCTGCAGCTCACTGAAGCTCTTCCCTGGGAAGTTTGTGACACTGAGAGGAGCTGAGGGGGAAATCGCTCCCCAACCATGTGTTTTTACCTAACCCTCACACTTGTACACACACCACTTTTGACACCAGGTATGTGGGCTTTCCACACTTTAAGCGAGGGAGTCACATCCACTGAGTGTCCTTTAATTTGTTCTTACCTGGAATTAGCATCAGATCTCAGAGTTAGTGGTTTGGTCTCATAAGACTTGCTGTAGATACTAATGGAAACTTTCAGGTTACTTCTGCACTGTACCTATACTTCTGAGAAACTAGTGGTAAACTAGAGTTCCTCAGGCCCCCTCCAGAAGTTTGATAATTTACTAGAATGGCTCACAGATATTGAATGGTTTGTAACCAAGATTATAAGGAATACAGGTGAACAGCCATTTGAACATATATAGGCAGAAGACTGGAAGCACCCAGAGTGCAGAATCTGCCTCCATAGACTAGACTTGAATGTCTCACACTCCTGTGATATGTTCACCAACCTACACACTCCAACAATCAGGACTTTTGTGGAGGCTTCATCACACTGGTATAATTGGTTAGTAAGCTGATTTCCAGCTCCTCTCTCTTTCCAGGAGAATGGAACTGGAATGGAAAGTTCCAGGTGACTGTTCTTGGTAATGAAGCCCTCATCCAGGAATTCACCCAGATTTGTTATTAGAACAAAAGGTACTTCTATCCTCACCCACCCCAGGAAATTCCAGGGTATTTAGAGCTTAGTCAGGAGCAAAGATCAGTACACATACTCACACATCCAAATATACACATATAACATATAAACATACATGCACACACATATGTACATATACTTGTATAGAAGCACGAATGCTAACATACATATACATATAACACAGATGAATACATATAAATACATGTACCATAGCATTGCTTCAGTATTCTCAAAACAACATGTGGGTACTCACTTTTGGCTCTGGGTGAAAAAAAATAACAAAAATGGTTGAGCATTATTTCTTAATAAACATACTTCACTAGGGCTGTAGGATTGCCCCTAAGACCACATGGCACCACTACCCGGAACAGCTAAACTTGGTAAAGGCACAGGGATTCCTAACCCAGTACTGAAAGCACTTCCCTGACCTCCTGATGGCTGGAAGGAGGTGGAGAGCAGGTGACATAGGAGAAAGTAGAATACCAAATTATAGCTCTCTCTCTCTCTCTCTCTTGCTCTTTCTCTTTTTGGTGTGTTTGAGCAGCGATAGGGAGGGTGGGGGTCACACCCACAGTGCTTAGAACTTACTCCTAGATCTGCAGTCAGGAATTACTCCTGGTAGGCTCAGGGAACCATATGAGATACTGGGGATCAAATCTGGGTGTACACGGGAAGCATCCTACCCACTGTACTATTTCTCTAGCCATAAATTACAGCTTTTATTTATATAAAATTTTTTTATATTTTATATTGAATATTTGTTTGGTTTGGTTTTGGGTCACACCCTGCGGTGCTCAGGGGTTACTCCTGGCTCTGCATTCAGGAGTTTCTCCTGGTGGTGCTTGGGGGCCCATATGGGATGCTGGGAATCGAATCCAGGTTGGCCCCATGCAAGACAAATGCCCTACCAGCTATACTATTTCTCCAGCTCCCCACTACAGCTCTCTTTAAGTGCAATTTTGTTTCCCACTTCTTGAGGTATGAGAAGCCCCAGAAATGGAGGAAAGGAAAGGGAGGAAGTAGTTTGGGGTTAGAAGTTCAGATTCCAAATGACCCATGTCCCTCGTCACCTTCCATAACTGGTCATGCTGCATCTCCTCTTGGCATATCCTTGGTTTCAGGAATGGGAATATGACACACCAGCTGAAGTCATTCTAGGGCTTACCCCGGGGGGGCAGATCAGGGAGATGACTTGCTGGCACTGCCCAGAGCTCTCTCTTCTTGTTTCTCTGCCTTCTGCCCAGACTTGTTTCTCTGTTGCTTAATGGCTTCTACACTTTCTCAGTTCCCAGCTTCTTCAGCTGAGTCGCCAGCAGGACATGGGTGTTCAAGGAGCTCCTTCTTCCAGAAGTGTCTGAGCCCTCTCTTGAGTCAGTAACTGGGGTTGTTCTGGAGCCAGAGCTTCCACTCAGAAAGCCCCCCAGAGGAATCAACTTCCCCCACACAGACCCTGGAAGGGCAGACACAGACCCCTGAAAAAGATCAATGAATCACCTACCGAAGGGTAGATGTTAACAGGAAACTAACAGTCTCTGCCTTTCTATAAAATGCTAAATAGAATGATAATGCAGCAGATAGGGCATTTGCCTTGCATGCGGCCAACCCAGGTTGGATCCCCACCATCCCATAAGGTCCCCGGAGTACTGCCAGGAGTAATTCCTGAGTACAAAACCAGGAGTAACTCCTAAGCATCTCTGGAAGTGCAGGGTGTGGCTCAAAAACAAAAGAAAGAAAGAAAGAAAGAAAGAAAGAAAGAAAGAAAGAAAAAAAGAAAGAAAGAAAAAAGGAAGCTGCTAAATAATCTCCCCTTCTGTATATGCCCGAGTGTAGTTTTCTCTAAGAAATTAGAAAATTGTCTTTGGGAAAATCATGCTGTTTTCATGTGACTTATACTCCTTTGTACTTAGGCCCCTTTCCTTCCTTTCTCCTCTTTCCTGTTCTTCTTTTTCCTTCTGTTTCCTCCTTTCCCCTTCCTCTCCTCTTTCTTTCTTCTCTCCTTCCTTCTCCTTCTTTCCCTACTCTTCCTCGTAGCCTTTCACCCTCTTAATCGGTCAGTTCATTAATTGGTTGATTAATTTCCCTCCTCTAAGTCTTCCCAGCCTTGATTCACGTATTCACTCAAACACATGGGTTCCTGCTTGTAGTTTCTCTCTAAACAGAATTCTTCTCCTTTGCCTCCTTTGCTGCCCCCCAGGAAGAAGAAATGCCAGATGTAGAAATTGACATTGATGATCTTCTTGACGCAGACAGTGAAGAAGAAAGAGCTTTAAAATTACAGGTAAGTACCCTTCAAAGCTTAGAACCTTCCAGCTATGGATATTTGAATTCACTTGCTGATAGAAAAACAATGGTAGCCTACACAGCAGTCATTTTCGGAAACCAAATGCCTGAGGATAAGGAAGTACTTGAGGATGCACCTTATAGACATGAATTTCTCCAGCCTCATTTTTGGGGGAGAGTGCAGATTCTCTCTCCAAAAAGATAGGTGCCTGAGGAAAGTTAGGATCTGGTGGACAAGAAGAGGCTCAAGTGAGGAGTGTCTAAATCCAAGTCTGTGACCTTAAAGTTATTGGTCATATCACTTATGAATTTCATTCCTAGGGAAATTGTTCATAACCTAAATTTTTATTGAATGAAATATCTTCTGTTAGAGTCTGCATCGCATTTTAGTAGAACAGTAGGTGATGAGATATCTCCTGTTTCCTTAGTCCAGGCCAATAAAATATTTATTTCCCTTCCCACATGAGGTCAAATCTATCATTTAAAAATCTGTGTGTGGGTGTTTCTAAAACCAATTAACCTCTGACCTGTCGTTGTTCTCTGATAATTACTGCTAATGGGGGGGGGGGGAGGTTATCAGCAAAGACAAATGATCACACAAGGCAGTGCATTAAAGGGCACATTTTCGTGTGTTAATGGACTTAATGTGTTAATCATTACTAGAGTCTCTTGAGTGGTAAACAGTCTCAGTTTAATAATTATTTCTTGTTGGTAAATTTAGTCATGAGTAGATAGCATCCCAATTATGAAAATGAAAAGTGATAATGAAGTCGGTGCTGGTCCTGTGGAAAATGTAATGATACAAAGATTTGAAAGAGGCTTTTGCTACTATCAAATCATCTTTTTGATTCCTGACTTCCCACAGCTGGTATGACTTTCACCATCTCTTTTCACTTGGACCTATACAATTTATTATTAACTAAGTTGTCAGTCCAGAGGGAAGGTGTGTGTATTTGTGTGTGTGTGTGTGTGTGTGTGTGTGTTCTGGGAGTGTAAGGTATATTTGCATAAGAAGAGCACAGCTTTTCATAGCTTCAGATGTCCATCAGATGCAGTAATAAAATGCAGTTTTGATACTCAGTAAGAAATTTTGATTTGCCATGTTTAAAAAAAAATTTATAAAGATGAAATGATTTAACTTTTAAAACCCTTAAACTCACCTTCTGTGTATTTCATTCTAGGAAGCGCTTGTAGACTGCTACAAACCAACAGAGGTAAATCATTTTTACTGTCATGTTTGAATTATTTTCTTATTAAATTGATTTTGAAGCTAAAAAGAACAACAATGACTGGGTTTGATTTCACTATACTACATAATTTATGGTGTTTTTTTAATCATATTTAAATAAGAATGCCTGACTAGCATTAACATCCTTATATATGCCTAAACATGTCTAATTCAGCAAGACCTAAAACTAATAAAATTCGGGGTGTTGCTTGTTTTATATTTATTTAAGGCCAATTTCAAAGGTAATTGTGAAAGCACTTGGAATTGTTTTAGTGAAAGATTGATACTTTTTAACGAGAATGCATTCTTTCCATGTGTAGTTTTTATTTTTAAAAAGCTTCAAGTTGGGGCTGGAATGATAATACAGGAAGTTAGGCACTTGTCACGCATGTGGTTGACCGCAGTTCAGTCCTTGGTACCATATATGGTGTCCTGAGCACCACAAGGAGAGATCCCTCAGTAGAGAGCCAGGAGTAAATCCTGGGCACAACTGGGTATTGCCCAGAAACTAAAAAAAATAAGTAAGTAAATAAAAAGCATCAGCCAGGGTTTGAACAATAGTACAACAGGTAGGACTCTTGCCTTGCAAGTAGCAGACCCATATTTTATCACTGGCATACCATAGAGTCCTCCAAGTCCACCAGGAGTGGTCCCTGAGCACAGAGCCAGGAGTGAACCCTGAGCACCATTGGCTATGGCCCCCAAAACGAAAAGAAAAATAGCATCAAGTCAATTTTGTTATTCAAAAGAATTACCTTTATCAGAAGAAATTTCGTGCTTTGTTTGAATAATTATTATATCCATATCTGTAAGTATAAAAGGCTCATATTAATAGACTAAAGCATTTAATGTATACTTTGTGACTGAAAGGGCACACGAAATTAAGGATTTTGATGAATTATGAAAATATTCATAAAGAACTGTTCATTTGTTCCTTTCTACATCAGATAAATTAGAATATCTAGCATATAGTTTGTGCAACATCAAAACACTTCTTAGTTTTAAAAGGGAATGCCCTGCCACAGTGGCAGGGGAGGATGGGGGGGATGGGGGGGGTAGGGATATTATCCTGGTGGTGGAAAATGGGCACTGGTGGAGGGATGGGTATTTGATCATGGTATGACCGAAATCCAAGCACAAAAATTTGTAAATCTACAACTGTACCCCATGGTGTTTCACTAATAAAAAAAATAATAAAATAAATAAATAAAAATTAAAAATTTTTTAAAAAATAAGAAATGTCAAGTTATAGAACCAAAAATAAATAATTAAATAATAAAGATTTTAAAGAATAAAAAAAACACTTCTTAGTTTTGAAGACGCATAATTATAAATAAAAGAAAGCATTCTTTCCTAAAGGAGAATAAGTTTTAAGTAATTAGATAGTTTTATGACCATTTGTTTGAGACCAGTTACTTAGTTGAGCTTCAGTTAACACAACTTTCTGTTTCCCTTTATGTTCATTTCATCTTATAGTCAAAAAGATGTAAACTTTTAATTTTACTTGTTAAGTTATATGCTTTAATTAATTTAATACAATTCAAGTTTCAAAACCCAAATAAACCAGTAGACTTCTAAAAAAAAATAAAAAAGAACTGGATCATTCCCATCCCTCCGTTACTCTTCCTAAAATATATTTTGTACTTATATACTTCAATAATTTTATGCCCTACTTTTGACTCTTTCCCTATTATTTACTTTTATCTTATTAAATGTGCATTTTCATTTATTGACTTAAGAAGAAATATTATAGCTCTCATACATAACAAATTTCATTTCCCTCCAGCCCCTCAATGGATAAGTATTTTGTTAACTCAGTAGTTAATATTTATAATATTGAATTTTAAATAGATGCTTTTCACCTTAAGCCAAATGCTGAAACGTAACCTTGGCTCCTTTAAAATTTATTTTTTATAGTTTTATTTTACTTTAACTGCTGTGATTTACAATTTTATATTACTGTCAATGGTAAGTTTTCATGCATACAATATTGCAACATCAGACCTTCCAATATAACATCCATTTTCCTCCACCATTGTCTCAGTTTCCTCCCCACACTCCATCTCACAATCCCTTCCTCACTCCCCAGAGAGATGTAGCCCTTTGTTTTTCCTGGGGTTGATAACTACCTAATCTTTTAACTACCTATTTTATTGTAATGTATATATAATAAAAGATATATTTGTATGTTTTTAGTGAAATCTCCAATGTATTTATCAAGTATGTTTAAACACATTACCATCACCCTACCTGTTCACATTTTCATCATGGAACCTCTGTGCAACAATCACAATCTGGAGAATTTTTCTGGGCAGAGTAACTTTGATCCCTAGTCTTTTGTTTACTTTTGCCCTATGCTAGATGCTTTCTTTTTTTAAATCTTAGTCTCCTTATTTTTTTTAGAATATATCCTCCACTTACTTTCTAGGAAAGGCTGCATAGAAAGGCAAATTTTTAACCTTGCATGTACAAAAAGTATCTTTTGATTACCAGGATGGTATAGACTTCAGCATAAAATTCATTCGAAAGCTCAATTTGAAAGCCATCACACTAAGATTGTGTCACGTCTAGTGTTAAGAAATCTGGATTAATCTTAGACCTTTACATGTGACCTATTTTCAGGACTATCTACATAGTTTGAAATTTCAGAGTGAAGTACTTGAGTGTGGATCCATTTGTTCGTGTTCTAGAAAAATTTCCCAGATCTTTAAGTCTGAAAACATATCTTTTAGTTCTCCCAATATACATATTTTTTTTAAAATTTCTTTATCAGTATTATATAGTTATGATTTGTTATTTAGATGCTACATCTCTGGATGGAAAGTCATATTTATTAGTTGTTGCCATTTTTTTTAATGCTATTTTATGAAAGATTTTCCTGACTATTTTCTAGCCCTTTAAACTTTCAGCTATCTTATATTCTAGCCCTTTAAAACCCAAGACCCAGTTCTGGAGCCCTATTCACTGGTGTGTTTCAGTAATTCTTATTTTATAGATGCAATTTATTATTTTGCTGTCTGATGGCTTTGGTAAAAAGCCTTAGTTTTTTTCATTTGTTAAGGGCTGGAGCGATAGCACAGCAGGTAGGGTGTTTGCCTTGTATGAGGCTGACCCGGGCTGACCCAGGTTTGATTCCTCTGCCCCTCTCAGAGAGCTGGGCAAGCTACTGAGAGTATCCTGCCTGCACAGCAAAGCCTGGCAAGCTCCTCATGGCATATTCAATATGCCAAAAACAGTAACAACAAGTCTCACAATGGAGACATTACTGGAGACTGCTCCAGCCAATCAATGAACAACAGGAGGACAGTGCTACAGTTTTTTTCATTTGTTGAGATGATTTTGCTCTCTGTGGTCTCTGTTTAATCTGAATCCCACATTTCCGTCTGTTTTAATCTGTTCTTGATAATTTGGGGTGTGTGCCTATGTCTGAATGTTAGGAGTGAATTTATGCTGCTCTGAATTTCTATTCTGTTGGTGGTGGATTGCAGCATGAAGTTGCTAAATTAAAAGCCTGGAGGTTTTTGTTGTTTGGTTTTTTTTATTGTATGTGAATGAAGTAAGAGAATCATTTCATATGTTGCTGTTGAGATAATAAATACTTATGGAGATAATTGTCTCATTTGTAGGAGTTTGACATCCTGAACTCTTGCCTAAGGGCCGAGAGTCTGACTTTAAGCTTTTTGGAAGCAGAAATATAAAGGAGGGAAAGACTTCGCACTTAGCTCGCTGGGGAACAGAGATCCTTTATCTTAGTTGAAGATTTAGTATGAATAAGTTAAGCAATTAGATATTTAAAGCGCCTACTAAATTGTTGTGAAAGATTAGGCAAGAGTTGTAGGATTATAGTCAAGAAAGGTGACGATTAGGCTGATGAACGCTCATGTGATGGGGGCGGGGTGGAGAATTGGTGCAAAGACAGAAGACAGATCCAGACTGGTAGGTGTAGATGTATCAGTTACTCACTTCATCACTCTCTCTCTCTTTTTATTTTTCCTCGATGGAGAAGTTCATGTTTGGGTATTTAGATGGGAAAAGTTGGACTTTAATGAACCTTATTCTTCCCATTGTACTAACTGGGGAGTAAAGTATTCATAGTCCGGGGCTAAATCCCCCTCAGTATCTGGAATAAGTGTTCTCCTCATGTGGTTCTAGAAGGAAGCTAATGAGGTGAAAAAAAAAGAAAAATAACTTTAAAAAGGAAGGAAAGAAAAGGCACTGGATTGAAGGTATGGAGGGTCATGAGCGAACATTTATCTGTGCTCTCTGTTTTAGTTCATGGTTTCTAAAGGGATGAAGATGGGCTTACATGCTGAGGAATTTTACTCAAGTTCATTTATCTATTAAAGGATCATTTCAAGAAAGTTTGCATAGTTTTTCATTTGCATTTATAATGGTAAGAAACATTTTGCTGACAATGGATGATGATAAAAATAGTAACCTATTTTTCCAAAGCATTGTTTTATTTAACCTGGACAATCATGATTTGAGGTAGAGGCTCTGGGTAATTTAACACCTCACATCAGCAAACACAGTGGTTAAGACTCATCCCTGAGGTTCAGACACCCAGCCTGGTACTTTCCATTCTGCCCATCTGCCTAGGATGTTCAACTCAGCAAGACAAAAGGCCCCTTAAGGACTTGGTTTGATCTCAACTAAATGCCTAACAATTAATGATGTACTTTTTAAAGTAGCCTTTTCTGGAGGTGCTATTTTTTGATCAAAGGATTTTACATACAATTATTATGCCACTTTGAAGTTACAAATTTAAGGGGGAAAAAATCTTTGCTGATTCAGATACATTTATTTATAGTCTTGTGCAGCGGCTCTGTGGGTGGTGGAAAGCTGGATTTAATGTCCAGAATCTTATGCCAGCCCCAGCACAAAGCTTTTGAGCAATTTTCTCATCTTCTCTGAGCTTTGATGTCCTCCTTTAAAAAAATGAATCTAATAATAATCACCTCCCTGGGTTTCAATAAGGATTATCTG